AGATACTGTGGGGGAGGTGTGATGGTGGGGTGTTGGGGGGGTTGGATTGCTTGGGGAGTTGAAATGGAGGGCCTGCTGCTGCAGTCAGCAACTGCTGCACATGCAGCGACTGCAGCTGCTTCGTCTGATGCAGCGTGTGGGCCATCCGCTCCGGCAGATGCAGCAGCTGCAGTGACAGCGGCATCCACACACACACACACAGAGGAGGGCCTGCTGCTGCAGTCAGCAACTGCAGCTGCTTCGTCTGACGCAGCGTGTGGACCATCCGCTCGGGCAGATACAGCAGCCGCAGCGACAGTGGCCACACACACACACACACACCACACACACATACACACACACACACACACGCACACACACACACAAACACACACACACACACACACACATGCACTATGTAGACACACACAGATGCACTGTCTACGCACACACACACACACCGACACCCACACCCACACACACACACACGCACTCAGACTCACACTGGGAAGGAAAGTAGCAAGGCCAAGGCAAAAGTTGTTCAGTTTATTAAATTTTATTTTTCTGCATAACATTGTTTTATTTTTAATTTTAAATTGGATAAAGAATTTCGATGTAACCCCAAGGCAAGAGTTGTTCAATTTATTTTTCTGCATAACATAGGTTTTTTTTGGGAATGTTTTGAGTGTTTTTTTTTTTTTTTTTTTTTTTGACCATTTGGGCTTCAGACAGCCTGCCCGGGGAGGACGTCCGACCAGTTGTCCGATCGGACAACCCCGGACGGTCAGGGGGGTCCCGGACGTCTGATCTGGTAACATAGTCACTTTTCAGGCTCGGCACGTACGCGTGGGCGGTGGTTTGTGAAGTTAGGCTTGTTGGAACTGTTTTTTTTCCTTTTTCTTTTGGTGGTTTAAATCACCGCTGCCTCCAAGGCTCTTTTTGCTGAGGAGGGCCCTGCCAGTCTGAGGCAGACTTCGTCACTTTGGGGTCCGGCCTCCGAAGAACACAGAATGGCACATTCAGGGAAGGTAGTGGTGGTTTACAACACCAGTTTGGGTGAAGGGGAGGTACAGCAGGCTGGTGCAAATTCCAAGTAACCTGACTATATTAGTATATTATATTATATTACAGATTTTTTATTCTAATTACCAGGGTGAAAAAATCTGAAAAAAATCAGGTATACGTCACTGACTCCCAATAGGTATTACAGATTTTTAATTCTGATTTCCATGGTGAAAAAATCTGAAAAAAATCACTCTGATGTTGTATGCACCACCACTGGCAGAACCATTCTGGAGAAGAAAATAAAATGAAGGGATCATTTGCAAAATACCCTAATAAGTTCAGATATATGCCAAAATGTCCCTAAAAGATTTGAATAGAGCCGAATGCCCCTCTGACGATTAAAAACTTTCGTGAAATACCCCTGGCATCGGTTGGACCCCCCATCCTTGCAATGTACCCCTACCAGGTACCATTCAACTTTGTGGAATGCCCTGGTACTTCCAACTTTTCCAATGCCGGATTGCAAATTTCCCAGGCCCAAACGGCTGGGTCCGGATTGCAAATTTGTGCACCAGCCTGACAGGGGTGTAACACACAGAATTCGACCCAAAAAGGGCATTCGGCTCTGCCCACATCTTTCAGGGGCATTTGGGCATGTACCTCAGCTTGCGGGGGTATTTTGCAAATTAACCCAGATTTAAAGTAAAAGGGTTTTCTGAACTGTGGTCCATAAAAAAAAAAAAATTGCCCAACCCAACGCACATTTCAATCCCTTGAATCCAACAGATGCCAGTGTGACCTGATAGGAGTAAGGTTTCATGCTGGGCAGGCCCTGGGGGCTTGGTTTGTGGAAAAAAAGAGAAAGGGCCAACTCACCCCTGCAAATTATCCCGAAAGTAAAAACAAAGGGTATACTCTGGCTGCTACGGGGTTCCCCATATGCCTACAATTAGGAGTAGTGGTAGGTAGGTAGTGTGAGGTGAAATTGAGAGAAGAATACAGCTTTTGAAAAAAAAAAAAAAAAAACCCTCTGTAGGCTATTGCCATTAGATTCATTCATCCAGGCCTGGCCGTATGTGCAGTCACTCCCAGTCAGATACATTCAGGAAAGTCCTAGCACACCACGGCAATACCACCTGCTCAGTTAATACTGTCTCTCAGTTAATACTGTCTTCCCCGGAAGACAACGCACCCTCATTTTGGCTGTATCTGGCCGGAAATATAGCTTGTATACATTCGTTTTTAGGGTGTGTTATATTCGGGGGAAGATGGTAGTAATCCCCTGGTAACCAGGGCAGTCAAATTGAGTCAACGCTGGCAGGTCGGCACCGGACACAGTATGTTCAGACTCTTGATGTATAACGGGACACTGGATCCGGTTTCCAGCAGGTGCGGTTCCCCACCAGTATGCCGTTGGACCGGAGCATCCAGGAAGCAGGAAGCCCACTATGAAGGGGGGGTTGCTCTTATCACCTCTCCTAACGGTGGGACTGGTTATCATTCATTCAGGAATTCAAAGTGCTGCCTAGCCTGATGTCAGTATGCCCTGAAAAGTAACAGCTTGTCAATTTGAGATTCTGAAAGACTGACATGATTCCCCTCACCTCTCATGGCAAGGAGGTGAGGAGTGACGCCAGGAAGGGCATATTACTCACACTGGGACCTTTTGGCACAAAGGGCCTCGTTAGACCCTCCTTGGAAAACCGCAAAATCAGAAATCGGCGTCGTTACACCGCATCCTAAATCGCCAAATCCCTTGAACGAATGTGAAAACGCTTCCAAGAGATTTCCTTGGGTTCCTCGGAATCCCCAGCCAAAACATCCTTGGATTCAAGGGCTCCTCGCGAGGTCCCTTGGGATAAAGGATCTGTGATAGACGGAGCGTTCTGGAGCTCGCGACCACGAGAATTCGGAGTCAACGTTGGTGCACAGGTCGTCCATGGTCCACCGGGCGGACATCGCCAGCCTCCAGTACCCGATGCCGGGCCGACGGGCCTCCAATGGCCTTAAGACCGTTACCGTTGGTGCGAAAATGTGTGGGGGCGGATCTTCAGCTGCGAGGCAGTCCGTGGAGCGGGCTTTTGC